GGTGGATGGGGGACAAGCGGTATGCCATTCACTTGGAGGTCAAGGATGTTACTATCTCTACAATGTACCAGAGAGCCTCCCACAGCAAAGAATTTATGACCCAAAATGTCAAAAGTATTGAGGCTGAGAAACCTTGTCATAGCGCAGATAGCAGGCATTGTTGAATAATAGCAATGCTCAGCGAGATCAAATGGCTTTGTCCAAGAGAGGTTGACCCATAGCCCCAAAGCCTTGTTCTTTCCTTTACCAAGGGAGCATTTCTTGTTCTCAAAGCTCCTGAACTTCAGAACCAGTAAGAAAATGGTAGACAAGGGTTTGGGAAGCAAAGAAGCAGCCTCAGCTCCAGGGACAAAGGGCATGAGAGCAGCCTTCCATCTTGCCAGATATGACATTAACCGTGACATGTCTCTAGCCTCTTGGACATTTGCTGTCATCCAGTCTCTGAGATTGTCATCTCCAACCCAGTTACTGGCATAAGTTAGACAAGGCAGGAAGACCAGACTCCTAATGACTTGAGCCAGGTAGTGTTTCTAAAGAACCAGAAAGGTTCCTGGGCAGGCAACAGAGAATAAAACGTTAATTTTGCTTCTCAATCTTGCAGTCATTTACGTTTCTAACAATGTTGTTATTAAACGCTGTTGAGTCAGTTCCCATCCATAGCGGCCTTGTATAGGGTTTCCACAGAGCGGCTGGTGGATTTGAACTACTGACCTTTCAGTTAGCAGACCAGTGCTTATCCTACAGTGGATATACCAAGACTCTATTACTAAGAATGCCAGTTTGATTTATTTCTTAGAACACTCCCTCAGTTGTAGTTTGAGAAATCTCTCAATGGATGTAGATAAGCACAGGACTGAAAACCGTAAGATCAGTGGTTTGAGCCCTCCAGACACTCTGCAGGAGAAAGATGAGGCTTTCTACTCTGGCCAAGATTGAAAACCTTTGAAACCCTATACAGGGTCACTATGAGTCAGAACAAACTCCAAGGACACTTAGCATCAACACACACACACACACAACAAGGTTTCAAAACATTCATGGAGGAGAACAAACAAGATGGCGGATTGGGTGGAAGTGCAGTAAAGGAGCTCCACCAGCAACAACACAAAATGCCTGACCAAGCAGGCTCAGGATGGTCCCAGAACTCTGAACCACATATAAAGGAATATTTAAAAGGTTGGAAGACTCAGAGCTGGGGAATTTGTGGCAGAAGCAAGAAATCCATTGCTTTCTAGTCCAGGATGCTCAGTTGCTCGAGGAGCCGCCATCTTGGGTGAAACCACGTTGGGGAAGGATCAGAGCAGCCACAGACACCTGGCAGAACCGCAGATATAAAGGTGTGGACATTCTATTCTTTTGGTATCTGTTCACTGGTCCCTTGCTGTCTGCGCACCTCCATTCTGGTGACTATAGGGGTACCTGAGCTAGTGGGCACCCCAGCCCCACCCTCAGAGGGTTCTACTAC